TTCAGCCCCGTAGCTTTTGCCGGTCTCGAGATGAGAAATCGGTACAGACGAACACACAGACACACACACACACAGACAACCTCTCGTCAGTATGCGTTTCTGCATTGCATAGCTGCAAAAAACGCATAAGAATTCAGCTACAAAACTGTAACCCACCTTCAGCGTCCAGAACCAATTCACTGCCTTCATCAACATGGATCGGGCTTAGTGGGCGGATTAGTGCTACTGGAGGTTTGTTTTTGCGTTTCTCGGATAGCACCGTAAGTGTTGTATCTTTGAAGCCTTTGTGGGTTGCATTTGCAACAGTAACACGCAAACGCATTGTTCCTTCTTTCAACTGAATAAGACCGGAGAACAGTACTTCATCAGTTATTACAATCACTAAGAATGCCAGGGCTTTTCAGTGTGGAGATCAGATGCTACTGATGATGCCATACATGAAGAGTTTTACAATTTGATCTTGCTCCAGGTCATTTGAGTGTTTTTTGGAGTTAACAATTTATTTGGAATAAATGGAACAGCCTTAATTCATAGATTGATTTTCTAACTGTTAAGTTGCATGACTAAAATTATCCAGTCGCACTGACCGATGCTGCATCGCCTAATTAAAGGTCAGCCTGTCGACGATCCCACTGTCTGCTTCATCTACTAAAAAGAATACCATCTTAGCAGCTTACCCAAAAGAAGCATTTGGCATGGTTTTAGCCGGATGAAAAGCTTCCTGGTATGTGGGGTGTATCACCACCTCGTCCCTAACGTTACTACTCTTAGACTACGATGAAAAGTACCTTACTGAATAAGAGGCATAACAAGTTATCAAGTGTTAAAGTCATTTCGAATGTAAAATAAAACAAACATTGGCGATGCTAAGTGACGGCTCCGTGTATGTCTCCGCCGTTCCAAAACCGCCACCATCCAGTACTTCCCAATAATATGTAAAATTTGCCTCCTCATCTAGAAATTTTTCATGCTTGTAATGTAAATTAGCGATTAAATTAAAAAAACTGACTCGGCACAACGGTATTGGAAAAGGCATCAACGTTGAAAAAGTGAAATATTAAAGCAGGCAACTGGACTATGGCCAAAAGTGTTAAGGAGCACTCTGCACCCTTAGTTGAGTCACTACTTCAAAATACTAGCCTCGCAGACCAGGTGCAAAGGTAACGGGGCCAAACGTTAAATAAAAACCAATCCCTCGCCAAATTTGTCTCGCTTCAACGGTAGATTTTTATCTAAACGTTTACTGAAAGTGCGTTAGGTTATCGATCTGTGCTAAAGCGGTGTAAATGTACAGATAATTTGTTTCACGGTGATGCACAGTCCAAATTAGTACTTTTGTAAGTACTGAATACGAAGTTCAGGTAGGTTTTCGCAAACACTGGTGAGAGTGCATTCATTTCAGTTGTGCTTCACGCGTTTGTAACATCAGTTTTGATATGCTTGCTAATCTCACACTGCTCACAACTTGCTCCCCAGCCATCCTAAGAAAGAGAAGATCGTCGGCACTCTTGCCAGTTGTCGTCTTCTGCTTGTAAAGTGCGGTGCTCACGGACAAATCCGATCCTACGAACCGGACAGCACTGAATACAAAAACTGGCCGCTTCTGATTCTCAAAAGCACTTTTGGCAATCATTCCGCTGAATAAACAGTCGCAAAATTCATAACTTGGTGCGCTTCATTGTTTTTTTGGCTTATGAACATCAAGTTCACCTTCTCGCTCCATCAGAGTAAAGCTTACTACTGAAATGCAGCCATACGCTGAGGGCAGTTCCGCATAGAAGTGCACTGGAAATAAGACCAAATTCATTTGTAAAAACCCAGACCTTTATGATTTTTAAACTTAACGGAGAGCTTGATACTATCGTGCGGAAGTTGCACAGTTGTTGGACCAATAATTTCGAAATTCAAGGAATTGGATGATGGAATATTCACGGTTGCAATGGCTGGAACCAGAGTGCAGCTGCCATTGTCAATTCTCGTAAGGCCAGTACTGCATGTGCATTTTCCACTAGTAGCCTAAAATGAAACACAAGAAATCACATCAGTTCCGCATGCTGCCAAAATTCACAGCATTTTTATTCGGGTTTCAATGCAACAATATATTTACCTCACCCGAAGAAAAAGCTCTTCATATCTAAATCCCTCAAAAGCTGTTAATGCATAGACTGGTTCATCACCTACGCAGCTAGCAACT